CCTCGACAGTCTTCAAGTTTCACGACAAAATATATAGACAAACAGAAGACGTGGCAATGCGATCACCAATATCCCCAACCAAGGCAGATATTTTGTGGATAGTTGGAGAGCATGACTTTACAGATGTGTAATCCTGCATGGAAGATATGGTGGTGATATGTGGATGACACATTCCCGGTTTGTAAATCGGAACATTTTGACAATTTTCTCACACACATAAACTCCCTGGTTGACTCATTGCATTTGATTTACGAGATAGAAAATGAACAGGGAGAATTACCTATCTTAGTTGTATTGTGTTCTCTTAGCTCAGCTCAGAGAACACAATACAACCAAGACCATCCACCTGAGCTACAAATATTCTCCATCATTTCGAGAATTACCTATGTTGGACTGCAGAATAAAACGAAGAACATACGGTGATTTGTATACTGCTGTCTACAGAAAACTGACACATTCTAACAGGTATCTAAACATCAATTCATCTCATCCGATATCAGTTAAGGCAGGTTTAGCCAGATGTCCAAGTGATAGAGGTAGAAAACTGACTAATCAGTGCAAAGATGCAACCAAGGAACTTAATCACATAAAAAAAGCGCTATTGGTTAATAATTATCCTCTGCAGATTATTAAGAAATTCGAAAGAACACACAAGAAGCGAAATCAAGACAATAACACTAGCAGGAATAATAACGACAACATGAGTAGGAAGGAGTTCATAGCCTCCACTATGAGGAAGACACGTCATCAACGTTATGTAGGATCCTCAATGAAGTTTGAATTAGGGTGGGACTTAAACCTACAAGTTCACTGAGAAATAAGCTTTATCGGCTTATGGATCCGATAGGACCAATTAAACAAAATAATCCAATCTATGAAATCCCATGTAATGGCTGTGAAGTCAAGTACATCGGTGAAACTAGCAGGTTGGGGTCAGTTATCATAGTGGAACGTAGGAATTTAGTTAGATATAAAATGACAGATCCGAATAAGATCAATAGTCTAGAAAAATACTCGGTCATAGCAATGTATGCATGCATTAACACAACCACAGAATAGGGTGGGATAAAGTCAATGTATTTATGTGATGGAAAGAGACAGATTTATTCCTGAATCTTTGTTCAGCGAGTCGACACCCAACCCAACACATGTAATGGGAATGATGCAACACCCATACCACAGATATGAAAAATTTTACTAGCAATTGAAACAAAGAATATGAGGTGGGTGGCAGAACTATAAGAGTCAGATGTCTAAGGTAGTGTGATAACATTGATATGATTATGAGCTATGATAATTTATGCTGGAAAGGTTTCGTACTTGTCAGCACTCATCAGCAAGGGGTGCCTTCATTCTCGATGGAAATGACGTCCTGCCTTGGATTCAAACCCTCGCCACAGTGCTTCAACCAAAGACGCTGACATCACAAACCAAGGTGTCCTAGCTACTTCTGAAATGATGTTTGCCTAAAACATACAGTATTGTTGAAGAGAACACATACACATGTTTCAAACAAAGGTTGTACCACAGACAGATCTTTTGATTCCAACCAATAAGTTATAGGAATGTTGAATGATTTCCTGCTAATGACGGTAAGAATGGATAATAGGTAGAAGTGGAATCCAGAAGGCAGGTTTTGTTCTCATTTAGGATTTGTAAGCATGGTGTGCCTGATTCACAGAAAGTGATACTGGTCCCATTGAGACTTGAACTCGCCATCCATCAGTTCAAACTACGCGGCATAAACCATTATGCCAATGAACTAAGATGGCCACTCCTCGTGTAGGCTCGAGTCTAAGTGGAGACACCATCCAGGTGGTGGGTCCAAAATAGGATGAAATGCACTTCCTCGATTTCACTTTTAGTCACTTTCCATCCTTATGATCATGTTTAGGTTTTAGTTCATTGAAATTAGTCAGCAGGAAACCGGGAGTTTAGGTTTTGAACTTGTTGACACTCATCAGCAATACATATTTTTTAATCTTTCCAGATTTATTCATGAGTGTAGTGCAAATCGATTAGGGTCTTGACTCGACTTTCTGCACTTGCTAAATCTTGTCTACTCTTAGTGGCTGAATATTCATAAGGTTATTATGTCTGCCCTGGCAATGTATTCACAATCATATATTTGAAACATTAACCTTGATGAATTTCTTATCTTTATGTACACATATTTAACTCGATGTATGTTATAAAGCTTTTGATATGGTGTGAATAAATCCACAGTGTTTATTCATCCCGCAAAAAGGGTTTATTTCGTACAATTTATGGATCAGTTGCGCTTGACAGACTTCAGCAATGACATAGTACTTGTTTCAATTGTCGGAATAATCTTCGAGTCAATTACGCTCACCTCCTTCACAACTTTTACTGGCTATGAAATATTTATCCTACAATTTTTGCCCTCGTAGTTCCTAACTGTACTGAGTGTACTAGCTCTAGCCTGATTGGTTAGACATTTTATCAAGCCTTCTTCGACAGATATAGAGTGAGACGATGTGAAATCCAAGTATCTATTCGAATGTGTTGATTTCTTGTAAACACTGGTGTCTAGATTTCCATCTTCTGTCCTCTTGATTTTGCAATCCAACTTAGTTAATTCTCCTTCTTCATTTTCTGATTCTCAAGTGAATCGGATTACATCCACTATCGAGTTAATGTGTACGAAAAAAACTCTGGATGTGTTCTGATTTCAGCACAGTACATGCGACGTCTACATATCGTCACCATACTTTTGGGCTGGGTTGAAATGTTCCTAATACTATTTGTTCCCAAGTGTCCATAAATATATCTTCTACGACCGGGAATATTGGAGATATCATCGTTACTCCTGTTTGTTTACATATTTAGTCTTGAAATTTGAACACCGTGGAAGTATATAAGTCAAAGTAGCCGTTCGGTGTCATTCAGAATACCAGATCACAGAAAAATTTAGCTAAGCATACAATGGTAGACCCTTCTAAGATAAGTAATTTGGAGAAAAAATCGGCTATCGCTCTTCATGCACTGACCCCAAATCACACTGTGCAGGGTAGGATAGGGTGACAATTCTAAAGTCCAATAGAGAGTTAGATGGAGGGAAGGGTTGATCACAGGATCTTCATCGAATCAACACCTAACGCACACGTAACAGGAATGACTCATCACACATATTAAAGATAACTGGAAAATTTTACTACCATTAAAACAATGAATGGACTGTTGAACTGTATGAAGGAGGTTTGAAAGTCGCATGATTACTTTGATATGAATATGAGCAGTCAATTCTGCGCCAAACATCATCCATTAAATAGTATTATGTGCTATATCAAATACACAATCTAATATGTATATATACTCTACTATAGTGCCCAATCATTTCCCCTACACTAATCATCTTTAATTTATTCATATACACAAAGCTAACAAGTAAGATGATATCCTGATCCCGATGCATCCTCTTAGGAGAAAGATTTGATCATGTAGCTTACACTTTGGTAGTAATGATGGCTAGTGACTAGAAGGAGAATCCAGGATGCGCATTATGTCCTATTTTGGACTCGACAGCTTAATTTACCTACCTGCCAGAGACCAAATGGTGTTTCTGCCTAGAGTCACACTCAGAAGTCATCTTTGTGAACGCCAGGAACCTGTATGGCAGTATTGACTGATCAGTTTAGCCCAGTCGACGACGAGAAATTACAAGATATTACATAAAGTTTCCTCTGTCTGTATAGACAGCATCATAAGCACTAACTTCACTACTGAATGTGTTTTCCAGGATTTCTCTGTGTATGGTTCGATAGACTATCTTAATGATAAAAATCTCTTACACAAACTTTGATTAGAACCAGGATCTGTGTAACAAAATAAGTTTTTACTGAGAATGAGTATTTGTAAATGATAATGGGGTCCGTTTTCACTTTACTGGTATTTGACTGGAAGGGAAAAATCTCAACTAATATACCGCCAAATATTTATAAATAATAAACTGTTTGTAACAAAAGGTTTTCTTTCAGCATCTAGGACTAGACAACACAAACTTAGTTACCCTCCAGTGACTAATCAATGCATCTTATCCAGTTCTGTAGGAAGTCAGTCGTGGCCTAAATGGCTTAGTGTTAACATCTCTGACTGCAGAACTACTTGACATGGGTTCGAACCTGAGGTCTTACATCGGTTCCGTCGAGGCTACAAGTGCATTTTACTGATGAATGCCGACAAGTACGAAACCTAGGCTAAGCAGTGCTTTCTGTGGATTGCTTCCATCCACTTAAGGTTCTTTTCCATCAATAAAAACTCCGGACGCTGACCACTTCCGAAGTACCTGAAATCAGTTTACTCTTATGTTCTGTTAGTTTTTCACATAGTTCTTAGTTACGAAAGAAATTACTTTATCCATTTCAGTAGATATTGTCATATAATTAAGGCTACTCTCCTGTAGAGATGAAACGTGTCTGAATATGTTTCTTTTAAAACCCCTTGATATTTGACGTGACGAATACTGGGTTCGAGTCTGAACGGGAAAAACAGCACTCACTGGGGTGCAGGTACATCCAGCTGACGAGTCCCAAATAGGACGAAACAAATGTCCTTGATCCCACTGCTAGTAATCAGTATGAATAGAGGTGAAGCATTTCGTGAAATAGGCAAGTAATTTCATACTATTTATTATCATCATTTGACTGAGATAGCCGTAGTTTGCCAGACTAGTATTTATACTGGATGATAATTGAAGGTGAGGTGAAAATTTGGACCACGGCCGGATTCGAACCAGCGACCACCAAGTTTTCAGTCACGGTCCAAATTTTGAATTCACCTTCAATCATCACCCGGTATATTTATTATCAGTTCGACTATCTGAGGTAGTCATGGTTTGTGAGGCTTGTATAATCGATACGTGAAGATGGTTGAAGGTGATATAAAAATCTGAGTCTTATCATTTGTTTAACATTCATTTCAGCATTTTCGTCATTTTCAACGATAAATAAAAACAAAAATTGTGCTAATTTTTTCCCAAGGTAACTACTGGTATTCGTAAGAAATTGGTAATTGTTGGCGATGGTGCATGCGGAAAGACATGCTTACTAATTGTGTTCAGCAAAGATCAATTTCCAGAAGTTTATGTACCAACAGTGTTTGAAAATTATGTCGCTGACATTGAAATCGATAATAAACAAATTGAATTAGCCTTATGGGATACAGCTGGTCAAGAGGATTATGATCGTCTCCGTCCCTTATCCTATCCAGATACAGATGTAATTTTGATGTGCTATTCAATTGACAGGTAACAGTGTGTCTTTTAAGAAATTGTCCTGATTGATTATCTTAACACTTTCCTCTTCAAAGTAATTTTGTTAGCTGAGCAGAAGGGAATAGCTTGGAACTGATTATTCATGACGTAGGGTTTCATGAAGTTTAAGTACTCATAATTCTAATCAAGCCATTCATCTATCAGATCCTGTTATCACTATTGTTAGCTTTGTTGTCCAATAAGGATTTTCAGCCGTACAGAAAGAAGCGATGTTGTATAGATACGGTTACGTTATTCAGTTCGAGTTTGAGTTGTTGAGTAAAATCACTTAGCAATTAGTTACGACGGTACAGTGTTAATATATAAATTCGATTATTTTGAATGAGAACGAAACGAACAAAGGATGAAATATACTCACCCACCTTGTACATATCTATACGGTGGACAGTGAGTCTCACCTATTGTGTGAAGGCTAATGATACAACCTGGATGCCCAAATCTCAGTAGGTGAAGTAAGCTACTCACTGGACCTTAGTGTTATATCACAGCGTCTATCATGAATAGTTTGCTCTAAGGAGAGGATAGTACTTTACATGATCACTATATTACTAAACATATCACCTTGGAGTTAACTCAGACTTCAGATGAATTACAACACTCAGCTGTTGAATATTCTTGAAACAAAATTTACATATTGATAGTGAATTATGATTGAAGGTTAAGTGTAAATCTGAATCGCTAGTCAATATGGATAATATAGGTCTGTCAAACCAAGGCTATCTCAGATAGTCAAACGCATACATTTCAACATCTGTCACTTCATGCATACCGAAGTAATGACTGTTAATACCAGTATTGATCCGTTCAGCTTTGCTTCTAATAGGATTTTAACCAAAAACAGTTATTGTCTTTGATTATATTATCGTTTGTCCTAGTTTTCTCAAATGATTAGATGTAGAATGAGCTGTTTTGTGGGGAGTAGAATCAGTATTCAAACCATAAATACCCCTTCATGATTCTAATTGTTGTAAGAGTATGTAGAAAAGGAGTATATGCTTTTGTTTAAAACTTGATTATTTGACTATTTTAACATGTTTCCCTTCCTTATTCCATTTGTTTACAATCAGTCCTGATAGTTTGGCCAATATCAAAGACAAATGGATACCTGAAGTTAAACATTTTTGTCCAAATGTTCCAATTGTACTAGTTGGTAATAAAAGTGATCTAAGATGCGAACTTACACGAACAGGTCAAAATCTAGTTAAATATGAAGAAGCTAATCTGTTGCTAATTATATAGGTGAGTTTATAATGAATGATTTTGTTCATCTATGCTTTTCTATTTTGCCTTCTTCTATCAGTCAGTTTTTTATTAATTATCAGTCATTTTAAGAGTGTTAACTTAAAAGGGATTCATAAAATATGTGCTTGCTAGTTCTTAGCTAACTATTGAGTACATACTCTCTTGTCTTTATGTTAACTGTATCTTTGTAATGGAAATGAATTTGATAATTTCATACGAATAACATATTATAATCTTAACTCTTACACGACGAGGAATTACTGGAATGAAGTTATATGTTAAGTGAACATATGTATTGGTAACTGGACTCGATATTCTAGGCTAATGAAATGATACCATTGTCTTGTTATAAATACTGAAATGGTGATTATCTTCAGGCTTCCACTGAATGAATGTTGAAGTTCAAACTTCTCGTCAACTGAGTCAGCCAACTGTTCAGTCAAGATATATTGAGTAACGATTCAAGAAACAATATATCAAGATAAAACCTGACGAAACAAAAGAAAAAAAGAAAAAATCGAAATAATATAATCAAAGGTAGAGACGAAGAAGGAGTAGAATTTTGAAAGTCAACCATATTAAATGCATAATTTATACTGACCTAATCATTGAAAGTTTAACAGCATTCACAATGGTCCCAAAAACAATATACTTTCAAGACAGATATCACTATGATTTCAATGCAACTTATACCAGATATTCTTAATTTAGTTGAACTCTAGATCTCTCAGTATTAAGTTCAGCTAAGAAAAAGAAATAGATAAGGGGAAACTGCCTTTCCTTGATTATTTTGTTAAGTGAAAGGAAAATAGACATTTTGGTATAACCATTTTCAGGAAAGCACCACATTCGAACAAATATTTAGATTTCAACTGATTACATCCAATTAGTATGAAATTTTCTGTTACCACCTCCAGTGTCTTAAGAAGAGCGGATGAAAATAAAAGAGTTTAGAAATTAAAATATGTCAACAAGATACCGAAAATGAATAATTATCTGGTAAAATTCACTGACAAAATCGATTTTCAATGGTTCTCCAGTCCATGATGAATACTACTTCTAAATTAAAATATCCCCATTCATCTCAAAAATACATTATTCTGTAGTGCTCTGCTCATTAGTGACTTGCTTCCAGATGGATATCATGAAGTTCTAATGAGAAACTGTGACCTGTGGGGTCAACCAGTCGGAAGTGAAGTGGATGCTAAGTCAAGACCTCAGGTGACAGTCACGCTATATCATGAATTGACAGAAGTTGGAAATTGTGAACCACTGGAAACCGACCGAGTGGTTGAATGGTTAACGCGTTCGCCGTGAGACCTGAAGGTTTCGATTTCGATCCTTAGCCGGTTTGTGGGTGCATACTGCTGAGGAGTCGCATACTAGTTGGACGAAATAGCTGTCCAGTGCTTCCAGATTTCCAATGGTTCCCCAACTGATGTCAGTCCATGATGAATACAACTTCTAAATTAGAAATCCCCATTCATCTCAAAAATACATTAAATTAGGTAGCTAAACGACTCCTAAATCATGAACCATACATTGGATGAGAATTGGAGAGTGTTCAACAAACGCAATGCCAACAGAGTGTTCTAGGGAACATCAAACACATTACAGAGCACCTTACTTCATTTAAAGGATGAGATCCTTCTAGATTAGCAATCTGATTGTATTTATAAAATAAAATGCTCAGACCGAAATGTAGTATATATACAGAACAAATTTCCCGTAAAATCAAAATTGAGAAAAATGAAGAGCTTCCACCCGACTCCACAAAAGTCCAGTGAAACTGAAAAAAACTTGAAAACACATCAGTCATACGTGTACATGCTATAATTTCAGGTCACTAGGTCGATTTTGACAATATCGAAACTATTCAGAAAGGCTTTAGACACTATGAAGAATGTCTCATTTGTAGAATCTCTTCACATAAAAAGGAATCAAAACTGTTTAAATAGGAAGAGGGAAGTAAAATGTAGTTTGATCTGGTCTTAACCTATTCGCACATAGTGATGTAACGAAAATACATACAATAAGAACTACCAACACATGTGTACACACAGACCTCAACCTGTAATTCATACAGTCTTCAAGCACACAACACACTTCAATATGGATATCATCTTTATTCTAGAGTTTGAACATCGGAGAATCATTCATGCAGAAGAACACTTGTCAAGTTATCAGATATTAGCTTAGAAGATATTGTAAATTCCGGTTTACTATCACCTTGACAAAGCTATTAGCACTACAGAGAGAAACTTCAGCTGAAACAAATTTATTTTCTTCTACAAATGACAAAATAATGAAGGTTATACGATTTTCTTCAATTGAAAGTTTATGGTGATATCTTCCAGCTAGGGTGATATAACTGGGAATCTAATGTCTTTAGATTTTCGACATAACAACAGAAACATGTAACTTGTCTTGAATGTATGACTGATTAGCGGAATACATTCAAAAAAATCTGGTCACGTACATACTAATCATACATATTTATATGTTACATAACAAAGTGTAACTGAGCGTGAGAAAATAATCGACCCATCAGAGGGTCAAATTGTTCGATTAGACAGAAAGAGAAAGATGGTGCATTAATCAAACTTAGTATTAAATCTAGTTTATCAAGGGAGGTTAAATGTGAGGTAAAGGCTGATGAAGTTACTCAGTCTGGGGATGAAAGGTTCAGGAACAAGTCTTATGGCTGGAAGAACTCCAAACATCAATTATGTTAGCTTCCGCTACAGCCTCGGCAAACTTGCTTATGTCCCCAATAGCCTGGGTAAATAGGCTTTAAAGGTGTATGTAAATCAACTCATTCATTTCACTGATAGGCTTAGCTATAAACAAAATCTACTGACTGAGTTAACGAGGATTTCCTATGTGATTTTTACTTTCTTGCACTGGAAGAAACTTGTCTTAGTTCAGCAAGCCTAAAATAGGTAAGTTCAAAAGTGAGGACTTAGGAAATAACATGAAAATCAGTAGCTAGCTACTTCAGCTACCTTATGTGTTATTTAACATAATCACACATAAATAAGAGCAACACCAGTCATTGAGAGAAAGGTAAATGCAATTGAATAGCCTCAAAAAGAAATAAAATGTGTCTCTATCTATACTCAATGATACCACTCATCACAATTGTTTTATATCATGTCCTCTTCACTAATTCTCTTAGTGGTTTGTGAGATTAAAGGTAGGAAGTGAATGATTGGTTGATTACTGGTCGATATAATCGACTAATTATTTTCAAGTGAATAATAATGAAGTTATGAAATGTGAGGTGGTATGTGGTTGTTAGTACTGGTTTGGTATTGGTATTGGCACATGCATAGTTGATGAAAACAAAGATTGGTGAGTGCATTGTTCTAATTGATTTTCACTCTGAATGGATGATGAAGGAAATTCTTGTGGGTTTTTATGATAGATTAGTGTGTGTGTGTGACTGTGAATGGATAAATGAATGTGAATGTTTGAGTGGATAATGGAAGTGTTTAGAGCTGGTTTAGTAATTCTTGGATTGAATCTGACAATGACTAACACAAGATGACGTGAGTGGATGTTGAAATACACACATACTCACACACACTACTTCAGATAGGTAGTGGGACAAATTTATCGCTGGGTCGCTCTAAGTACTAGACTACCAGTTGGTTCTCTGGATTGAAATGCTCTTATTTTAATAAGACACTGCTTGATTGATCGGGGTGACACCAATACCAGTGGCAACGATATTTAATTGACGTCGGCCGCAGTTGATATTTATTAGTGTATGGAGTGGCAGGTTTCTGTTTGCCATGTACCTTGTTCACATGTGTGTTGTGGCCTTTCTTTGTGAGATGAGCAGTACAGAACGTGTAGCTAGCTAGTCGAATAAGTGACAGGTCGATTCGGTCTATTAATCTCGCAGTGTAATGGTGAAGGTTGGTGCGGACACATGTGAATGTGCGTGTGCGTGCTTGCGTGTGTCTGAGAGATGAACAGTAGCTTAAAGCAATCAATTGTTAAATGGTTGTTTCATTTGTCTTTGTCTATGTAGTGATTATTAACGAGTAAAATGCGTTTGTCTTTTTCGTATGGCTACCGGAATTTTAACCATTCATTCCTTTACTTATGTGCTTATCTGTTACCCTATCAATTATCTAACCAGATGCCTACGGGCCAATCGAGTGTTCTGCGAAGACGAAGGAGAATGTCCGTCAAGTGTTTGAATTAGCTACTCAAGCGTGTTTAAATGTTCAAAGGAAACACAAGAAGAACTATAAATTATTTTGAATACTTAGTCGTGTACTGAATTATTTACCTGGTCAATTACTTCTTCCAACCTTCCTCTCTTTGTCCTTCTGCCTCACTGCCTCTCACTCCGTGTTTCTGTATAATTGTGAATAATTGATTACGTCTGCTGAGTGGCTGAATGGGGAGGCTGTGCATTTCTGCCTCTTTCTGTTTCTACACTGTTATATATGTATGCTGTGTCCTTTCCATCCACAATGGACCATTCATCCTGCTTCCCTATCGTTTGTTGTGTTGTTCCAGTTGGCAAGTGTTTATTTACAGTGTTGATTTTGCTGACAATCTACCTAATATATTATTAATTCTTTTTCTCCATGTATCTGTTCCGTGTCAGAAAGGAGGGACCATTCTACCTGTGAATTTCATTATATTCACATTCGTTTGTAGTACGTCCAAATTTCATAAGAATCATTTGTATATCACTAACATTTTGTTGAGTGAATATTTTGTATCATGAAATTGTGTCAACTATGGTTAATTCACTCGTAATGTTGCGTATTCAAGTCATTCCATGTATTCATTGTTTTTCCGTTACCAACATCTTTTTTAAAATACTGACTTGCGTTGATTTATTTAGTTTTTCCTTTTCCTATATAAAGTGTCGCTTTAAGACTGCTTTGGGATGGTAGTTATGTTAAATGTACTGGCGTTATCATTCACAATATATACTTGTTTTTCTTACATAAGAAATGTTCAGTAAGTGT